ACTTGCATATTCAAATAAACACCAATTGTTTATTTGTGTGTACGATCCATATACATATGTGAACATTCAAATAAATTCTCTCAGAAGTTTATTGAAAATATTCAGAGGTAAAAATGGAGTATGTGCGGTTGACTCTAGCTCTAAGCAATTTTGTTGGTTAAATCAGATGCTAATGTTAAATAATCCATCTTGGATGGATGCGATTTTTAAAAAAAGCAGATTCGATTGATTCAGTCAATGATTCAGCCTCTGAAAAATACAAGTGGATTTAATATAGGAGAACATACTCTTGGACTTGAGTATGAGAAAGAGATTCAGCCATGAGACTTACTGGGTGGCATTGGATCTTTGGTCTAACCATCATATGCAGAACTTGTAAATTATATTGTGTAACTGAAGTTCTCAGGGTTGTGTTTTACTGATCATTTGAAAAAAAAAAAAGATGGATCTTGGCACATTCTTCAAGAAATTTGGGTTTCATTTTGCTTTTCTCCAAATCAATACATGTAGAAGCAATAAAGTTAAATGCTGCAATGTTTTGCAGAACAAGTTATGAAATTGACACTATTTGTATTTATGTTTGCAAATAGGCAGTCATATGAAAACCATAAGACTATACCAAGGCTTGTTTACATGCTCAACATTATGGCAAAGCAACCTTGATCTATGCTATTGAAAATAGTTGATAGGTCACAGCAAAGGTATAACATATTTAATAATACATCTATTGACAGCAATGAGAATGGTTTATGTACAATATTGGAAAAATGAAAGTATACCACCAAAAAGAGAGATAATAAAGAAAATAATGGCTTGTGCAGAATTTGATAGATTAACTTAATACTGAAAGATAAGGGGAAATCAGAATATTATGATATCTGGAATAAGTTTTACCTGTGGTTGCAAAAAAGATGGGAAGGTTGGAACAAAACTAGCTGGGAGGATTAGAATCAAAATGTAAATATTGTACCAATAATAGGAATGTTAATGGTTTGGTTATATTTTTGTATGTAAGGCAAAGTAATGCCAAAATGGTTGTACCGTGCTTAATACTTATAGTTGTAAACAATAAAAATATATTTTAAAAAAGGAAATAGTTGATAGATGATAGACATATAGACAGATGGATAGATAGAGCGATAGACAGATTGATGGACAGTGATAGACAGACAGACACAGATATAGATTTTCAAGATATAGAACTCTATGGTACTTTTTTGTTTGTGAATGGTACTATGGTACTTTGGTTAATAATGCTAGATCTTCAGAAATACAGATATTAAGCTACCTTAATGCTTTGAAAATAGGCTCCATTTTGTAATGGAGAAGGAATAACATTTTTAAAAATCAAATAAAAGAAGTAGCTTATCAAGAAGAGACATAAGATTTGCTTGTTGTTGGCATTCTTCAGAGGGTCATTTGAGTCACCAAACTTTATTCTCTGGGAGTCAGGATTTGGGCTCAGAGTTTTAATCCTAGCCACATCACCCTGAGCATGAATGATTTCAAAAAATGTGGTATAGTTTTAGGGCTGTCCCCTGTAATAGTTCTTGCTTGCTCTTCACCTCTTCCTGCATCCAGGCATGATGAAACTATTTTGAGAGCTCATCTTACCTTGAGAATGTATTTTTTTTTCCCACAAAAGGGAAACTGATCATTCTGAGAGAGAACAACTCTTAATTTATTTATAGCCACATGCCAAGAGCAGCAACATGCACATGTCTCATGTTTCTGTTTGCATTTTTATTCATGAGTATTTGGGTGGCTTCTATAAAGATTTTTAGTAAACACTGAAAGCATTAGTCAATTACTCCTAATGTACAATTTCATAGCATGTTTATTAAATGATAATATTGAACTCTGTGACAGTATTATTTCTGAGAACACTGGGGCTTTATTGCAGGGCTGCTGAGAAATACCACATTGTGGAAAACACAGTATTGAAAGTCAAGAATGATTAGAAAAAGCAGATGTCACTGAAATTCTACTATGGGGGCAAAAGCCTGCCAGTGTATAGCTAACTTTGTAATATTAATAGTAATATTTCAAAAGTTGGATCATGGTGAATTGCTTAATGAAAGAAACAGTATTAAACAAGTTTTTCCTGCAGAATTGGCAAGTTTAATATCCAAACATATCCATTTAAAATCCCAAGCTTAAAAATAGGTGTAAACAATCTACAACTCACAATAACTTCTCTTTCTCCTCCTTTTCTTTCTCTCTCCTCTTACCTACAATCTTTTTGTCCTCAGTAATTCCTAAGTATGTAACTTCTGGTATCTTCAGAAGTAGGTAGATAAAAAGTAAAATGAGGCATCAGGATAAATCCAACGCTGCTTTTCTGCTTTCTCTCACAGTCCCTAAATCAAGGCATATCCGGTTCTTATCATATTCTTCTTTTGCTGAAATAGTACATGCTTATTGTAAATTATGACATTTGATACTAACAATTTTAAATACCATGCTGATATGGTATTTATTCCAGCCCCGGTAAGATTAAAACCAAAATCTTACATTTCATTGCTTCAACTCCTAGTGAATTACATCCTGTGTAGTTTCATTCATGACGGGCAATTCCAGAGAAATAGTATCACAACAGCAAAAACAGCTCCTTCATCTCCAAGCACTCCAGTGATCATGGCATCTATTCAGGAGCACTTGTTTATGGAGTTACATAGCTTCAGGCCATTTTATGCCTTTGTCTGTGCATGTGTGTGCATGTGCACACACACCAACATGACTTTGAGCCAGTTTTGACTCCTGGCAACAGCTTGGATGAATCTGCAATTTTCTTGGCAAGATTTCAGAAGTAGTTTGCCATTGCCTCCTCCCTAGAGCTGAGTGGAATTGACTGGCCCAAGGTCACCCATATGGCTCTGTGCCTAGCACAGAACTAGAACTCAAAATTTCCCAATGTCTAGCCTGGTGCCTTAACCTTTACACCCAAATGGCCTCCTCAGCCCTGTTAGAGGTCACTTTCTCACAAGCGGAAACCAGAGCATGCCTCCCTTGCTGGTTTTCACTGAATGGGTAGACACCATTGAGGAGAGATAGTCCTGAAGATGGTCCAGGAGCTATGCAGTATTCCATTCAATTTTTTTTTCCTAATTTATATTTTGTCACAAAAGCATTTCTGGGATGTGGGCAACAATCAATAAAAACAACACGTCTATAAAAACAATCATTATAAAAATATAAAACCAGATTAAAAATGAGAAAATACTATTACGTAAAGGTAAAGGTTCCCCTCGCTAGTCGTTTCCAGCTCTAGCGGGCGGTGCTCATCTCCATTTCAAGGCTGAAGAGCCAGCGCTATCCAAAGATGTCTCCATAGTCATGTGGCTGGCATGACTAAGTGCTGAAGGCGCATGGAATGCTGTTACCTTCCCACCGAGGTGGTCTCTATTTTTCTACTTGCCTTTTTACATGCTTTCGAACTGCTAGGTTGGGAGAAGCTGGGACAAGTAATGGGAGCTCACTCCGTTACATAGTGTTAGGGATTCAAACCAGCAAACTGCTGATCTTTCTGATTGACAAGCTCAGCATCTTAGCCACTGAGCCATTGCATCTACTACTAAACAATTTAAAATCTGTCTGTACAATGGAGCCATTCAAGGTATCCCTGATTCCCTTAGATCCCCCAGGCATGGTGACATAGTACTACTTGTACAATTCTGACTCTATCCATGCAAAGCAAGGAAAACAAAACAACATAAAATAAAACTTCATATGTTTCCCATTCACAAAATGAAACATCACAGGTAGTCTTTAACTTACAACCACAAGTGAGCCCAAAATTTATGTTGCTAAGTGAGACATTTGTTAAGTGAATTTTGCTCCATTTTACAATATTTCTTGCCACAGCTGTGGAATGAATCACTGCAGTTGTTAAGTTAGTAAGGCAGTTGTTAAGTGAATCTGGCTTCGCCATTGATTTTGCTTGTCAGAAGGTCACAGAAGGTGATCACATGACCCCAGGACACTACAAGTGTCATAAATATGAGTCAATTGCCAAGCATCTGAATTTTGATCATGTAACCATGGGGACGCCATGATGGTCATAAGTGTGAAAAGTAGTCGTAAGTTACTTTTTTCAGTGCCATTGTAACTTTGAATGGTCACTAAAAGTACTGTTGTAAGTTAAGAACTCTCATTGTTGATTATTGGCAAAATGGTAGAAGAATAGCTTTTATGTAACTGATTCTTTTTACAAGGGAAATCGTACTGTGTTTCTGAATACTAAAATCATACAGGTGTATAATAAAGGACTATATCACACGACTGACCAGACTCTTTCATAATAAACACTTAACAATTGTGAAATAATCCAATATAGAAAATCTGTATCTTTGAAATGATTTCTCGAGTACAATTTGTGCATAATTTAGGTGTTTCTTATGCATGTTTTATATTCTAGTATTGAATAGAGATCACACTGTTTGATTCCCTGTTCTTAGATATTTTGTTAGAGAACTAATGTGAAGCAACTAAAGGTGTGTCCTAATTAAATCTTGACATATAATAAATTTAGATATTTTCATTTTTGTAATTGATGTCTTTTGTCTTCTGAATTCTCTTATGTGTGGGAAATCAGGTTTAAAACTTTATAAAGCAATGTATCTTCCTGCATCAGTTTAAATCAATTACTTTCTCTCATGCTAAAGCCTAGGCTATCTCACAAGATTGTAAACAGGATAACAGGGAGGAACCATATACATTACATTCCTTGGAGCAAAATATAATAGTTTCTGGAAAATATGTCCTAAATAAACTTGCATTTCTGATTTATTTATTTATGGACTGGATTTATAAGGCTTCCAACAGTAATAATGTGACTCTGGGTGGTGTAGCCATAATGGTTTAATTGGGTTTAGCATATTGTGGGAACCCAGCCATTGTGGTTTACTCAACAAACATTGTTTAAATGAATCATGGCTTGAACCAAAACAAAATTAAACAAAACACTTTTCTGTGGCCTTTGTTTTTCTCTTGTTCTGTAGCTTGAGAACTACATTGTGGAAAACATGAAGTCAGAAATGGCCCAGCTGCAGCAGAACGCTGTCCAAAATCACACGGCCACCATGCTGGAAATAGGAACCAGCCTTCTCAGCCAGACAGCAGAACAGACAAGGAAGCTCACAGATGTTGAAACACAAGTAAGTAGTCACAATTATTTTCACCAAAACATTCTCTTTTTCTGGATAATCCTTTTGTCTGATGTAGCCAAGAAGGTGATCAGTTTGATTATGAGCTGCATATATCATATAGGAAGGTAGTGTGTTTACCTGGTGCATGGCACAGAGATAACCCAAACAGCTGGTAGTTCAAACCACCCCTTCGTTGCTCCAAATTTCCCAAAATGCTCCCATGTTTCTGGCAAGTCCCAGAGCAAAGTGATAACAAACCCACACACAAACCTAAAGCAGCCTCTGACTGCAATTAGTCCATCCCAGCACTGTGTACACCAGAAGTGCACAGCAATAAATCCAGGAAGGCAAATCAAAGTGTTCAGGAAGCAAAAAAATCCAGGTAATTAGTGCAGAACACCAGAAAGAATGCAAGGATTCTTGGAAAGTTCAAACATTGGCACTCGACACTTCAGGAACTCAGCATTTGTTCCTGAAAAATTCCCCTTTGCACAGCGTCTCCTTAAGTCTTATTTCCTAGGTGTACCTTGTGAAGATGGGTGGGGCACTCTTCCCTCATGTAGCCTGTTCAGTCTGGGCTATTCACACCTTCTCTTCACTCTCTGAGCTTTGGATCAGAAGGGGGTGGTCCTTGCTCCTCACCTGATCTCTGTCTCTCATGTTCATCTGCCCCTCCTTGTCTACAAACTGTCCTAAACTTGAAAGGCCTTGGTCTTCCCTATTTTCTTCCAAAGACAATGAAGCTGCCCCTTCAAACTCTTTCAGCTCAGGTTCCAGCTCGTATTCCCCCACAGATTCAGGCTCCGATGGGGGCATGACCGATAGTCAATTTTTGATTAAAATATAAACTTTTTGAGTGTTTACTGAAAAGTAGAAATAGAAGAGTAAAGTCCTAGTGGTTGTCTATGTTTGGTCTACACAAGTCATTGACTCTCTCCTAGCTGGGTAGATCTCCTTACTTTATATTGAGTCATCTTTATAACTAATTCCATGGATATATTTATACATTGATGGGTGTTCAATACTTGGCCTGTATTTGCTTGAAGTCAACTGAGAAGTTATTCTCACTGATGTTATCAACCAACTGATCAAAATTCTTTCCATTTTTATGTGCTAGAAAACAGGAAAATGCTATACTCCTACTTCATAAGGATGAGTGGCTTTATTGCATTGTTCTGTGGGTTTGGTCAGTCTGTTTTCAATTGGCCCATAATTCTGCTTAACAGGAAAATGTCTAAAACTAATATGTAAGTGGGTGGTGGAGAAAATATGTCTTACTTTCCAATGAATCATCTTTTTAAAGGGCTTACTATGTTTTTAAGATAAGGAGCCATCAGAAGTAAACTTATAAATCAGATGGCAAGAAATAACAGCACAAAAAATATGTATTCATAGATGTAGCACTATAATTTAATGATGCAGAGGCTTTTCTCTGGATGCTGCTAAAGCAATATCCATAGTCTTGATGAACCAGCATTTGATCACATCAAAATTGACTTAATATTTTCTTAATAAAATATAAATGTGCACCCCATATACGTTGAAGGATACTTACGACCTTATAAATTCAAGCAAATTAAGGTTATTTTGTTACTTTTTACAAATTCTGTGCTATTGCAGTATGATAACAATACAAAAGAATGGAAGGGACTGAAAGCTGAAGCAAAGATGTAAGATCAGTCTAATTGAAGGTCATATAAATCCTATATTCCAATATAGCCATTATTCATCTCCTAGATGTGGGTTGGCTGTAATATCAAAGAAGATAGCTCAATTTTGCTGCTTTTCCAGACTGTAATTGACTCACTGCTACATAAAAGGTTAAGAAGCCCAGACAACATCTGGTTAATTCCAGGATGTGCTGGGAACCCATCAGAAACAGGACTAGTTTCAGAAGGGAAGAGAGAGATAATTCCTTAGTATCAGCATTTCAAACTCTGAAACAGCCCATTGATCCAAACTCATTGGGCATCCTTTCATTATTGTTTGTCCTTTGATTTTATCTACCAGTTCACAATTCATAATTCCTTACTCTTCTCTTCTCTTCTCTTTACAGTTTTGAGCACATGTTATCTAACAGTTGTTCTATTTTAGACTGTCTGCCTTAAACAAATACATTCATATCTCTGATCATTACATGGGCAATTATGCACACCAAGTGTGTCACACCCAATCAGTCTTCAACCTTGAACTGTATATGCAATATCCTTTCCATATTTGTTACTTAAATATATACCAACATATGGAATAACCAAGATCAGTTACCCAAGGGAAAAAAATCAGTCCAACTACAGATAGTGTACACATGATGATGACAAGCCTTGTTCAAACTCACAGCTTCTTTTGTTTTCCAGAGAAGGTCCAATAAAAAATTTATGTGAAATAGACTTACCTTATAAGTAATGGGATATTAAGACAGGAAATCTTTGGAACAAAAAACTTGCATTTTTGTATTTATATCATAATGAAGAATAGAGGCTACACATTATAGGTTTACACTGTCTTAAAAGGAATCAAGCATTTCAAAACTCACCCATTGTGGCTTGAGTCTATCCTATGTTTTATATTACTTGCCAGGGGTATAGTTCCCAGTTTTCCTTTTGCAATCCCACAGCCCCAGTACTCATTGGGAAAGCAGGATTTTAGTTTAATGGCTTTCTACGGCACTTTCTCACCCTATGAAGAAAATACCGGACATGTTCAAGACATAAAACATAGATATTGCTCTCTTTAAGGTATTTTTAAAGTAACAATGAAGACTAAATTGTGCAAGAGATAAAAAAAAATCATACTAGTGCTTCAACTTTTCTTCTCAATGTTTTTGTGTTGTGTGACAAGATCTGACAGTGAACTATATAAAAGAGCCCAATCTGGGTCGGTAACCAGAACCAGAGGACAAATCATGCATTGTAAAGATCACTTGGAGGTGGTAAATAATTATAATGAAATCTACCAGAACTCCCTGCATGGATTGCCCTTGTAACTGTGAAGGACAGATAGGGAGGAAGCTAACCACCAGACTGCAAGAACACAAGTGAGCAGTCAGGCAAGGAGACCTGAATTCATTGGTAGCCTCACATTACAAAGAACAAGGAGATACATTCAATTTTACAGCTACTAAGATTGTTGGCCATGCAGGTACAAAGACAGCCAGGGAAATGATTGAAGCCTATGAAATGGGCCCCTTGTCAATCAACAGGAATGCTGCTTTACCATCAGCTTATCAGGTACTTAGGAGCCAAGGACATGGCACCACAAGGAAGCAACAGTCAATGACTTAATAACTGGCCATCAATACCCCAATCAATCAATAATAAGCCACAACCAACTGGGCACCACATAAATGCCACAGATAGAATAACCCAAACCACACATTTTGCTAGAGAGGAGTTCCCTGAGGATGGGCTCTAGCATGAATCCGAAAGCTCAGAAGACTAAACCTCTGGTCCCGGTGACCAACGCAAATTGGATCCTGCAACATTATCATGGGACATGCATATTTGCCTTCATTCATGTATTAAAAGACTTTTTGTGCAAATTGGACAAGGTTGCAGGCTACTTGTAAAGCTATTTACATTATAAGCAAAGACAAATATATTTCACCACATTTTAGGTCCAAGATAGAAAAGCAGTGGTGGGATTCAAATGTTTGTACTGCCAGTTCTGTGGGCGTAGCTTGGTGGGCATGGCATAGCTTGGTGGGCATCATTTGGTGGGCATGGCAGGGGAAGGATATTGTAAAATCCCCATTTTCTCCCCACGCCACTAACCTGCTTTCTAGCTCCATTGCAGGGCAACAAAAGAAGACCCAGCCAATCAGCTGGGACTCGAGAGGCAGAGAATAGATGGGGCAGGGCCAGTCAGAGGTGGTTTTTACCAGTTCTCCGAACTATTCAAAATTTCCACCGTCAGTTCTCCAGAACTGGTCAGGACCTGCTGAATACCACCTCTGTAGAAAAGGCTAGGACAAGCTATATATGAGGAAATAAAGTGTAAGGTATGTTCATACAGTGACAATCACTGTATAATATAGCCTTCATTTCTTAAGAAAAACTAATATTGATTTACTTTGCTACTGCTTTTCATTCATATGAGGTTGGGTAAATATGCTAAGTAGTCATACTAGAAATATGTATTAACCATTAACCATTTTCAGACAAGTAACCACCAGGCATATAATTTTACTCATTTAGACTCCTCAAAATTGATTTCAACATTGGAATGGTTGAATATAAAACTTATGCTTAAATTATATTTAATCTTGATGAAAATTATCTTCCTGTGTGAACCAAATTTTTAGAAACAAAACTTGTGGAATGTAGGAAAGATGGATGTAAGTTGCTTAAAAGTAAATGCTTCCATGAATTCTCAGATACATGATTTCTTCTTTTTTGTTCTCTTGTTTATATATAGGAAAGCCTTTTGTTGTGTCGATGTAGCTATTTTTTGTTCCTATCAGCTAGGAATCGTGTTTTGTTCAATATATAACAAAGTCGTATTGACTATGGAAGCAGCTGATATTAAAGAAATAGACACAGGAATGCAGACTTCTCTTATAGAGATATATACGATCTAAGATGATGAAAATGCTGTAAAGACCAAATATAGCAAAGGGGATACCACAGGATAATAATATATTAGAAATTGTTTCCTTTGTTTAAAAACTGAATTCAGCTTGGCAAGCTTCTCAGATCTGAAAGTGCAGTTTGAAAATAAATGCTAAAAACCCTGTACCACTTTCTGTTGTTACTAAATAACATATATCAATGAGATATCTGTATAAGGTGCATTGGATATATTGATGAAGATGATAGTTATGAATCAGGTTGCTTTTAATCTGTGTCTGTTTTCAGTGAGGTCATTTTAACATTAATCTTCTTTTTCCTACTTGTACCAATAATGATTCATTGTGTGTCCTTAATTTATTGCAAGTTCTTTGTTGTTGTTGTTGTTTGCCTTCTTCAGGTTCTTAATCAAACATCCCGGCTTGAAATCCAACTGTTGGAAAATTCCTTATCTACTTACAAGCTGGAGAAACAATTGCTCCAACAGACCCATGAAATCTTGAAAATTCATGAGAAAAACAGGCGAGTATAAAATGAATGGCATGATCTTTGAATGTTTCACGCTTATAGTCTTCACTACAATCCCCCAAAGTGAGATGTTTGCTTCCAGAACATGCTGGTTTTTCTACAAAAGTTTCTCCCATTATTTACATTCTACTAGAAACAATAAATCTAAATATTTCTAGAGTGCTTTTTGCACCTGCAAGAGTATCTCATCCAGAACAAGTATTGTGACGGCCATGTTCTACTTTTGACTAGCATCAAAAATTAAGAGCGAAGAGAACATTTCCATGACATTATAATTTTCTTTCTCTTTGGAATTTTTCTATTTGGAGAAGCATTTGGCTATGTTAGTTGTCAACCCCACAAAGCTATTTTGCTTCCACTGAATGGCATTCTGAAAACTATCCAAAACCTGCTGGTTCTCCCAGGCTTTGAGATAGGGTGACTGTGGGGTCCCTATGATTTTTGTGATATTGAATTAGCTTTCTGGGCAGTTCTGTTTCTTTATATATACATATACTTCTTTCTTTTAACTGTAGACTGCTCAGAGTCATTAAGGAGATGGGAACCCTCCAAACTGAATGAATAAAGAATGAATGAATGAATGAAATTTATCATGAGAAACGATGCAGTCCAGACAAAAGTGTATTACTGTACTTTAATAAGAGGTAGGGATACATATATGTTCAAAAGGGCACTTTGTTTCTATCAAGATTTGAATGAAGCATCTCCAAAAAGGGTCATTCTAAATGGGGGAGCAAAATAGCCACAGAATTTTGTTCTGCTTACCTAAAGTAGATACATACAGCACATGCACCAGTGCTTTGTGGAAGTGGGGTAACTCCAAGGAATATATTCCATGTATCCAGAATAAGGTATCTCTGAAAGGTGAAGCATTGGGGTGGTAATTGTATAATTCCCACAGTTTGTGTGAATAAATATAGATAGATAGATAGATAGATAGATAGATAGATAGATAGATAGATAGATAGATAGATA